TGAATGAAAACAAGAAATGCACTAGCTCATGATTTCCAGTGAAGTCTGTCCATCCACACTCTTGGGTGTACATAATTAAAAAAATACATCTCTTGGACTTGGCTAATTGCATCCCTGACAGTTATGTCCCATTATTAGTTCCAAGACATATCACAAATATTGTCCCAGGTGACAAAATTATATTACCATACAGCACTACACCACTGTACATTAACTGTTCCAAATCCTCTGCTGCTTCACGTGTAGTATACAGACAGTACCTATTTATATTCTTCTGATTTGTACTGTTAAGCTGATAACTGAAGTAGCGCCACGATTTATTGAGCCATGGTACTGTCTGCATGTGACACAGCAAGCTCCAGTTCAGGCAGAAAAAATGTAGTGCTACTGCTAGCTCTTCGTTTGAACCCCAAACACAGAAGTGTGGAATCACAAACTTCGAGCAGTCAGAATACATTCCAGTAACGTGGCAGAATCATCGGGCGATTCAATGGCAAAAGAGAGCAATTGGCAACATACCTAACAAACACATGACTGTTTGGCCAATGCTGTCTTGAGGTGGAGGGCACTAATCACTGATTCAATGGATCATCAAATCATGATTCTAGTGTAACAGAGGAATACACTTCAAGTTATTCCTTTGAATGAGTGACGCCCCACTTATGTCTTTCTGTTGTAAATTTACACTTATATGAATTCATCTCTAATATAAACTGGAAACTGTGCAAAATATGAAAATGGCTGTCTTCTGGGTTGTAGTGTCGTATAGCCTGACAGAAGTTCAGCAACATTTCAGAGGTGCTTCCATAATCACTCATCACCCTGATGATCAAAGCAGCAAGGACCTCTGAAACATTACTAAACTTCTACCAGACTACACAGCGTTACAACCAAGACCATCTTCATATTCACTGCCATGAGAACCTTCGTTCCTACTGTCGTTAGAAATTATATAGGTTGTCCGAGCACAATCTACATCACTCTTGAAATCTGAACTACAGTAGCCCTCATAAGTTGCACAAATTACATCCTGAAACAATGACTAGAAAATAAATTCCTGACTAATGTGGGCCCTGTTTCTGGCTTACGACATCAAGGTTCTACTATTGTCCATCATCGAAAAACAGGAACCACATTATCAACGAACTGCCATGGAATCCTGAATTTTTACACACTTCCTAATTACCTTACAAATTTTGAAATTTAACAATTGGACACGGACAGGGTCCTTACACAAAGGCATACAATGTTTATATACATATAGTTACTTACTGAGCAGTTTATAGAAACATAAGAGACCAATACTACTGCTACTAATGAGGTAAATATTTCATTCCACACAGTTTATGAGACAATGCTAATCAAATATTAATACAATGTTGTAACAGTTACTAGAAATGTGTCATGTGGATGATAACCTGTAGAGTAAGGAAGACAGATAAGAGAAGAAATATTCATGATCTATTCAAAGGTAGCAATCTAGTATTCATAACAAAAACATCAAAACAGCACACTGAAATTAGAGACATTTTCTTTTCCTCTTGATGCAAAATGGAAGTGTTAAGCATTAAGCAAAGCATTCTATATATTCGAAAAAATTATCAGAGCACAAAATTAAAAAAATGCAAAGTTATTCTGATGAGGAAATGTGAATCCATCATCAACTCACTTTTCCTAGGTTGAAGAAAAAAAAATCTCATCTCCCATAACGTTGGGAACTTCATCACTGAATTTTCAAGTAGGGTCATAATAAATTTAAATATTTATTAAAACAAAAGACGCAGTAATATCTTAAAACATACTTGGAGAGTTGTTTAAATGGCTTAATTAACTTATATATCTGTAGCTGATGTTACATTAATAAGCACAGTCTAAATGACAATGAGATAATTAAGTTAGAAGCCAATATAGAAACTTCAGGAACAGCAGCAATCAACATGAATCAAACTCTAAAAACATGAGAGGGCTAAAACAGTTTCAGGGGGGGGGGGATAACATTCAGGAAAACTATCATTGCCTCATTCATTTTTCAATGTGTAACTATATGATGAAGAGAACAACTGCAACTACTTGCAAAGAAAGAAAACATAACCTTACTTTCATAAAAGGGAAATGAAGACTATTAAATAATGCAGAATTCTATGACATACTTTTCTCTTTGTATTGGTAGGTTTGTTAGTTAGTTAATATTTTAATGGGATGGGAATACAGCTTGACTACAGTAAATGTGAAATACATACAGAATTTTAGAAGGGACACTTCTCGGAAAGTGGTACATTAGGAATATAGATAAGAGAAGAATGTAAAATTAAAACTGATTTTAGAAAAAAATAGGTGGTGATGTAGATGGCAATAAACTGGATCAGGTGATAGTTTCATGGATGGGTTTTGGTTTAAAAAAGGTGCGTTTTCACACAATTAAAAAAAACTGTACAAAAGCAGTGAAGAAGCTCTTAACATGAGCACGTAAACAAAATAAAGTTACAAAAAATGGTACTGCCAGGTGAATTGGCTTCCAGAAACGAAATATGACGAAACAGTTTAGTAGTCGAGTGAATGTGAAATTAAACGCCTCAAAGCTCATGATACAGGAATAACTTGAACATGAACTGAAACAAAATTCACCAATATCCAAAAAGATTTCACTCTGATACACTGAAGTTTCTCTACATACAAGTTTTAGGGGAAAAAAAAGCTTTTATAATGAAATTTATTCTTTAAGATACTATTATTATTCTATATATGTAACACCAACATTTTAAATTAAAATATGAATTGTCACATCTACAGATTCTCCTCATACAGTGAATATGTGTCATTATGACAGCAAAAAACAAGAAATTGGAAAACTGCCATGTGTAACTCCAACATATATAGCTGTTATTAATCTTCAGAATTATATAAAGCTTGCAAAGTTTATCTGATGATAACTGAATTGAAATTGTTAAACCTGTCGCACAGTTTTCAGTTAAAATAACCTTCATGCTTGTCTCGCACTTTTTTTCTTTAAAGAAAAAATAAAAACAAAGTTGAAATTTCTTTCCAAAATTAATGTACAAATTTAAAAGAAAGCACATTCCATTATAAAAACAACTAAATATAGCTCACAATATATAATCACAATTAATCTAACACAAAAAATTACACTAGGCTTCAAACAAGGTTAACTGATTCAAAAAATAATGTCGACTTCTGCGTCTGCAAAACAAAATAATATATAGTCAATTCCTACAGTGATAAACATACAATTTTCAAATTATATATGTATTTGTTGTGCTTATAAGTTCTGGTTGCCCATTCTGTCATAAAATGTGTGTCCTTTCATGCCTTGCATTTAATATTAAAAATTAATTTAAAAACAGATTCAAATGATGAGTGACTCATAGTACAGCTGCAGACAAATAAACTAAAAAAGCACAACTTGGTGATGTTAAGTGTGAAGAAGCACATATATGGAACTACACACAACTTCAAGGCAATACCAATACTCTCACTGCCAATTATTTACATTTTTCAATGAAACCTGCCATCAATCACATATATCACAAGTTTTAAAACTCTGCCAGCATTATATTTTTTACAGAATACTGTTCCTCCATTCTCGATATTTAAATTTCCATTTAATCGATGAACAATATCTTATTAAAAAACTATTTCTATGATAATGGTGTGAGATACTCAAAATTGATGGTGAAATGGTAATCAGCCAATTTTTATACATCTAAAAGTTGGGTTTAGATGCTGACTATAATTGAAACCCGTAATGGAAAATTGCAATTGATAACCTAAAATGTCTTACAGATAACATAATATTGTAGACTTTAATACAGATATAAAATAATGCTTCTTAGTAATATAAATTGTTTAAAGATTTAAACTTGTACTATATACATTAAGGGGTGGGGCGGGGGGGGGGGAGAATATAAAAAAAAGTCTTTAATATATAGCCAGGAAAACGGAATTTTTAAAGATGACGGCATTCTGCCAAGTCAGCCATTTGCATATTTCACTGTCATAAACAAAACTATTACGTAATTTTATAAAATTCCATTCCTCCCCAACCCTTCATAGTATTCTACAGAATGGCAAAAAACAAAGAAGTAACTGAACTGAACTTTCATTTATAATGTTAACATTACTGTCTATTACAGCTAGCAGTTACTCTGAGTTACAGCTTGTGTCACGTGCTGATCCTGATACGCTGCTATGCGTTCCATGCGCACAAATAACTGTGTTCAGTTTCCCTTCTTTTTCAACCACTCTGTAATCAGGTGAGATTAGTCAAGATTCTGGAAATTAAATGTTCCAAGTAATGAGGTGAGTGAATGAAGAAAACCTTTGTAAAGTGATGCCAAAGATAAGCACTACAGTCAAAAATATTAAGTTCCCTGACACTGTTATAATCATGTTGTTATTAATATGGCATCAACTATTATTTTCTGTATATGAGTGTTTTTATAAACTTAACAAAAATGTATATTTATATGTACGGAACAGATGTTGTACTTATAACATCTTACGTGTGAGGAAAAGTAATGTTTCCATCAATTCAAAAACATTTTTCTGAGATTATATATCTCATTACATAAAACATAAGCTGTATCACTTGTAAACATTTTTCTTCTGTTTGAGTAGCTGCCTCATTAATAGCAGCGAGTCAGTACACCGATCAGTGTAGAAAATCCACAATCAATCTAAAATGTTTTTGGTCATACCTACACATGACGTACTCATTTACCACGACATAAAACCAGGTAGTCTTGTATAATCCTATAGAAAATGTTAAACCATTACAGCATATAATATTTATGATTCAAAACATTTTTGCTCCCAATTTTTTTTAAGCTTTGCTTTCCAACAAAAGAAAGAAAATACAAAACAACTACAGAATTTCAGAGTCATAAATTGTTTTAAATAAGAAACAGAGCATCTAGTAATTTTATAAATTTATAAATTCCATGAACATCCATTCATGTAGCCATTTATCAAATTTGACAGGAATAACAAAAAAAAAAATTGTACAAATAAAAAAAAACAACAACAAATATTTAACATCTTATCCTGTCTCTACACTAGGGAGTTGGGGAAATATTTGTATCAAATACCAGTCTGATATTAAACAACATTCAATTTCCGTACCACACCCTCTTTTGTGGCCGATAATAAAATCTGTTTATGCCCTCACAACTTTGCAATAGGTACATATATTTTCCATTTACTTATCTTATACTTGACTAAGTTTAGGACATCACACCCAGGTATCAACCATAGAGATCAGGGTGTATTTATAGCACCATTCTTTCGACTTGTAAAACTATTCATCACTATGCCAAAGCACTCAACAGGATATATTTCCAAATAATAGCGTATAGCTTCACTGCATTTTACAGTAAAACACGGTGACGTTACTGCAAACAAGACCCGACGCTCCTGATATCAAAACATGTACTCAGATCACTTTAAATATATTTTAAGGTTATAAAAAAAATATATATGTAATAACAGTCATAATACAAGGCAGTATATGCAGGCTGAAGCATGCTGCTTTTACTTAATATCACCATCACTATACGTACAAATACGTTCTATTTTGCGAGTTTCTTCTTGGCAGCTGCTACTTCCGCTAGCGTTGCCAGCCCAATGTTATTCAACACGTCTTGTTCCACTACAGCGGTGTCTGCAACACAATCACAAAGAATTACGGCACACGACTCGCTACCATCTCTGTCCCGGGCCACACGAATCCAATCCAGTATTTAAGACCCATTTCAATATTATACTCCCATTTTTACTTTGAAATGGTCTCTTCCTTTCAGACTTTCCAACCTAAACTTTCTACGCATTACTAATCTCTCCCTGTGTGCTATATGCCTCGATCATCACATCCTCCTTGATTTGACCATCCTAATAATATTCGATGACAAGGACAAATTATGAAGCTGTACCAACTTCTTCACATTACACCCATTTTTGAGAAAAATTTTAAAACTTCATTGGAGCAGGAATTAAACTGGATCAATACATACCAAAATGAAATTAATCTAGAAACTTTTAGGGTTGATCCTCGGTGTCTATTTATTGTAAAAACCAATCAATAGCTTTAGAGATATAACGTGTGGACAGACACACAGTGCCTCCCCACTGAGCATTAACTTCATGAGCGGCAAAAAGGGAGGGAAGTCCGTGATGTATTGCAGAAAAAACCTTCATATACACTTCAGCGTAATGTTTAGTAGCACGAGTTTCCACAGTTTAAATATGAGAATCCAAAACTGTAGGAATCTGGTCCATAAAATTGTCATATGAACTAATCATTTCAAGTTTCAAAAGCTACATTGCAAGGATATTTTAGAGCAGTAAAACATCAAGGAGCACCAATTTTGAAGTCCTGTTGATGTCCTCAAACAAGGAATGCACTGAAAGGAAAACATTGACAAAAAAGAAGTTTTTTTTTCATTGACTAAAAGATGTAAAATGGTTACATTTTATGAACACCCTGGAGATGTCTGAAAATCAAATAAAACACGAACAGTGAAAATAAAATAAAATGAACACTTAAGGCATCAAGTATTACGTTGTTAATTTGATGGTAAATATAGACATCAAATGTACAAATGAATTAAAGCCCAGACCCGTAACTTACCTCTGCTTCTGCGAACGTTCTCTGGATCAAGTCGAGTGATGCATCGCTTGCGAGCTTTACGTTTCTGGCTGCCAACCAAGTGTGATGTTGTGACTGGGGTTGTGGGGGCAGTGCTGACCACGGCTACACCAGGGGGAGACACTGCCTTGATTACACCAGTAACCCTCTGTTCTGTACCATGGTCACTCTCAAGGCTCATACCTGCTGGTAATGCCGGAAAGAGACACTGACGTGTAAAACTGACACCGCGCACGACATGAGTGATATGATACACCACTTACAAGAATCAAAGCTCATAAAACCCACACTGAAACATAATTATTATGTTCCTCTTACAATTTCTATGAACTTGTTCAAATTCTATATACACAATATAAAAAAGAAAATAACAGTTATTAGAGGACATGACTAACGCTGATGTTACGGACGTTACAAAAAAAAATGAATCAACGTGTTTCAAGAAAGCAGGGCCCAAATTGCTTTAATAAATTCACAGACACTTCTGTTATTCTATACAGAACTCTCTGTGAATGTTTCATACCCATAAAAAAGCAGATAAAATTATATTTCGCATATTTCAAAGTTAAGTGGTCTTCTGATTAAAAAAATTCTTACATAGGTCAAGGGCATTGCTTCTCCTTTCAGAAATCAAAGGTAATGACTCCACTAAAAATTCCTGGCTATTCTGAAGACACATGAGAGCGATACTGGTACGAAAGTTGTTCTTAACGTATGCCTATGACTAATGCAAAGGCAAGCCAAACCTTGTAAGAGTATCTACATTGTGTAATGTTTACAAATAGAAAAGATCTGCAACTCAGCTGAAGCTGATGTTATGTAAACAATCATGACCTTCACATGTTGACTTCATACTTCTCTGTGTGAACGAGACAAGGCTACGGAGTTGCAGCAACTGTATTAACAATTGTCAGGTTGCTCGTGTGACCTACTTGATCAAATTCTTTATTTTAAATTTTTCTTTTTCAGTGCGAATAACCTTACCCTTCTCACAAATAATACTAAATTCTCTAACATCTGCTCAATGATGTAGCCTGGCAGTCTCTCTTTCAATTTTACTGCCAAGATAACTGTTTATTACTTAAATTAAAAGAGGCTTTATTTACAGCATTACTCAAAACAAAGATTGAATCGCCTGGAATAAAATTCTTAAGTACACAGTTTAACTTTTTCAAGCCTATGTAATATAAAAAAATTCACTAAGTACCTCAAAAAAACAAAAAAAAACACAACCTGTCTCCATGACAATAATAAATTTGAATAATGCTGTGTAGGATTTGATGCTTTCACGACGATCACTCCGAAGACGGCTGTCTCCTGGGTTGTAAACGGACAAAAGTAAAGTTCCGAGAGACTTTTAAAATTACAAACCAGGACACAGAGAAGAAAACGAAAGATCCGAGACAACACGAAAGATGAATTCAACTGAAGACAGAAGAGATCAGAGGGTCTAATCCTTGAAGATGAAGACATACATACAATCCCGTCCTTTCCATATTAAAGTATATCAATTTGCTTGACTGCCTATTTTCACTTACAAGCACTCTGCGTGTCCTGACTGGCTGTACGGAGCCTCGTAGTTGCTGCAGCTGCCACCGGGGTGGACGACGTCACAGTCTTTCTCAAGCTGCCACTGGAAGGGTTTCGTTTCTTCCGCGCCTTCTTCTTCAGTTGAAATTCCTCCAAACTCAGAGAAGGTAAAGCCTCAATCTTCTCATCCAAGTTAAAATCTCTGAAACACAAAGTTTTAATGTGAAAATGTAGAAAGAAAATGCGTCAAAGAGCAAGCACGTGCCTGTTCGACACAATGGAAACTTATCCACTATCTAAAAACCTACATTTTACCAGTTGCTTTGTACTAGACATGAAACGTGGTCTCTCGGTATAAGGGAAGGACATAAATTAGATAATTTGAGAATAAAGTGTTGAGGAGAATGCATGGCCCTGTAAAAGTGAAATAACAGGATGGAAAAAATTAACAGAGTGAGGAGACTCTTCACAAAGTATCATTAGCGTAATGACATCAAGGACAAGATGGGCAAGCCATGTAGAATGGAATGGGGGGGGAGATGAGAAATGCATATAAAATGTTGAACACGACCCTGAACAAAGTCCTAATTGTCGAATCTAAACTGAAATTGAATTACAAGATCAGCAAAAATATCATTCCTCACGTGCAGACAATATTCTCGCTGTACATCAAACTAAAATCTGAACTGAACACAGAGTTCGTAAACTTCAAGTATAAAAACAGACAACATTTTCAGCTGAGTTGTATTCTATAAATAATAAAACATCAAAGTCGATGCTCTGCGATGTAAACTTACGCAGCTCGAAATCGTTTCTTTGGCGAGGAGTCAGAAAACGATTCTTCTGAAGTATCTGAACGTTTCCTAGATTTCTTGTCCGATGATGAATTTCCAGATTGTGATGATCCATCTTTTATGGAATAACTAAACAAAACAAATACTGTCAGAGTCTTGGAAAAATTAATTAAACTACACTTCATCAAAGAAACAAATGAAACAGAAGTCATTCAGACGCACGTGTAGAAGAAGCCACTGATTAAAATCTTGACATACTACAACTGAAACAGAGATTTACGTTTCATTAACTGCTGTTTACTTATATCTAGGTTCCAAAATGATGTTAAAACTCATTTTAATCGTGATACAGGATCCAGATCCGTATCATCAATTTTTCTGTTGATCTAAGTACGGTGTATACGAAATAATTTTAATCATGATACAGGATCCAGAACCGCATCATCAATTTTTCTGTTGATCTAAGTACGGTGTATACGAAATATGAAGTATTCATGTAATTAAAGATGTCAATGTTGTCGTCTGGGCTACAACGACACGTGGACTTGTAGATACATGCCAATGTTTCTCAAAAATGTTGGCATCTACACGTAAGTCCATGTAGAGTTACAACCCAGAAAGACCAACATCAAGATAAATATCGTCCAATTAAATTGTAAACTCGAAGCTTAGTATTAAGTAGGAAAACCTCTTGAAGTAATTGATTAATGTATCTAATATATTTGATATAATACCTTAACTGTTTTCCTGTCGTGGCTGCCTTTCTAATGCCCTGCTTCAGGTTAGAGGTAGTAATTTCTTTCTTTACAGTTGGCAGCTTGTTTTTTAATAAGAGTCCTGATGATGGTGGCCTGATATTGGGTTGAACTTCAAAATCTGACTCTTGTAATGCCTCAGAGTTTTCAGTTTTCTCACTAGTGGTTGAGGAGCCGGAGTCCAGTCTTTCTCTCCTTGGAACTTGGGTTGGTGGAAAATCCACACCACTGGAACTGATCAATAAAAAATTTGTTTCAAAAATAAAAGAGCCAGGAAATTAACCCATGTATACTGCAAGTCACAGTACTTTGAAAAGAAAATAATTAATACAGGATCCAAATATTCCTCACCAAAATCCATAGTTTTGGTCAGGTTAATGTTGCATAAGTTGAACGTGCGAGGACATCCTTCAATATCCATTTTACTGTTACACTACACGTCTTAGATTTCAAATGATATTTTCCCAAAGACTTTCAGCACCTAAATTTGTATAAATTATAAAAATATAAACTAACCACTGTCCAAGAACCCCATTTCATCCTTGAGGAGACAGACAAGAATAAGACATATACCTATTTTCCTTTCACGACAATTATTTAATATCACAAAATTAAATTAACACATTACAGATGACGAAACCTAATTAAATGCCTGAATGAATATAATTTTACCTGTCATTGCCGCCGAACATGTTCTTCCTAGTCCGCTTCCCAAGTACAAGACGGCCTTCACTCATAAATTCCTGGTAACGTCTCCCTTTGCAGGTACGTAGCGATTTCCTTCGTTGCATTTCCCTCGAGTTTTGAAGCTCTCGTGGAATATCAGACGCTACAGGAGATTCATCCTCAGAAACACTTGCCCAGTTCTTCGTATTCTTTAACGTTTGATCCGACTTTGTTCCAGCTGAATCAACGACACACTCCAAAGTCTTTGGCCTGATTGCCACACTAACACTTTCTTTGGAATAGTCTTGAGTTCTCGTTTCTTCAGAAGTCTTTCGAGTACCTGTATCATTAAGCACGGTAACGCCTGAGGTCTCTTTATCATTGTCTGTGCCGTTCATTGCACGTTCCAATGAATTTAATGTGGATAATTTTGAGGCAGTTTTCTTTGAACTATGAATCAACTTCTTTGGCCTCATTATATCTATGTATCTGTTTCTTACCCCATAATCATCGACACTCAAAGTGGAACTCACTGTAGGAACACTGTTAAAAGTACCGTCAGTACCGGACTCTGGAGGGACATCGACACTGCCGTTTTCACCTTTGACTACATTTTCAGATCCATCGCTTGACAGCAAGCCGTCACCGTTTGTTGCGCGTAATTCTCGGACACTGTCGCGGAACACGGGAGGTGAAAGCCGCTCCTTTTCGCTTCCCGAGGACGCAGAGCTCACCGACATCTCTGTCGCGGCACGATCAAACGACCTGTCCTCACTCAACCTTTGCGTCAGACCTTGATCTCTCTCTTCTTGACTGCGTGTGTACTTTTCTTTTTTAGCAAGAAAATTCTGCCCTGGTGGACTGTGAATCAAAACTGTTCTGATATCAGCGTCATCATCACAATGCGGCGCGGATACTAACTCACTTCCTTCCATACTGTCTAACCCCGTTTCCAATTTTGGCACAAAACCCAATCCTCTATTATCTTTGGGATAACCAACCAATTTGGAAACATTTTCATTTTCAAACTCACTGCTGCGATCATTTTCTTCTGTTTTAGAAGTCCCTGAAAAATCAATAACACTCAGCGATTCTTCACTTCTGTCAGACTCGCTACACGTTATCTTTGGTTCGGTGTGACTTACAATCACGTTAACAGTCTTGGTTAACTTATCGTGAACACCGGAAGTTATGCCTCTGTTACAATTCAACGGGCAGGGCGATAAACTACGACGATTCTTCCAGTCTCCAGAATCCGCAGTCTTAGCCATGGTGCGGACATCTCCGTAACCTGCAACTTCTGAAGCAAGATTTGTACGACAATCAACAAAACTGGGATAACACCCCTCAGGCCCGCAGTTTCCCATCCTACCCTCCTTACACATTTCCGAAGCAACGTCTTTACTAACATATACATTATTATTCATGTTCTTTAAACCAAATTCATGACTGGAATCGAAACTGAAACCACATTCCGTGCCCTCCGTGGTACAGAGATGTTTCTCTGGCGAAAGAGATGTGACGCTGTGTGCGTCTGGTGTTACTGGAGATTTGATTGGTGGTGATTTACAGTCGCTCTTAGGCGCAAGAATGTTGCTGCAGATCACAGTACTCTTAGTCGAATGCAAAGGTGAGGACATTAAATTCCTCTGTTGTTTGGCAGGACATAGAAGGGCGGGCGAGGTCTCCAGAGGCTGAGACTTTTCAATTATAAAATTATTATTGCAGCCAACACTTGGGTTTGACAGGAGTGATGGCGGTGATGGCGATCTGGCACGATGTTCTGCAAAACCACAGAGTTTATCAACTACCCTGTCAATAATTTGTTGCTGCGATGCTTTTATTGTCGTCTCCAGACTGGTATGGTGTTTTACACGATCCCAATTCTTGTCACTGGAGATGTGCCGATGGATGACAGTGGATGGTGCGACAACCATTTCTAAACCACTCACAGAACCATCTTTGTCGTGACTCATACTCCGATGGTGCCTGCCTCTCAACTTTGCGGGAGCATCCGCGCAACCATAAGCATCTTTCGGCTTAGGTGTCATTTGTAAACTTGGCACACTGGATATAAAATTCAAGTTACTCTGACTTCCTTTAGCCTTAGAACAACCATCTTTCAAATTTACTAGTTTCCCTTCCTTTGACTTATTTGTTACGGAATCAACACTAGCCCTACGACGGTGTGTCTTCTTCTCTTGTAATGAATTCAGCTGGTTTGCAGCATGGTTTCTTAGTTTTGTGAACGGTGACATGAAGTTAACTGAAGATAAACCCACAGAGGAGGACTTAGAAGAAGAAGAAGAAGACCTGAAGTCCAATGTAGTTGAAGAACAACCCTCACTTGGTCCATTTCCGAACAAGGGGCTGGTCTCCTCCTTTTCAGTTGGAGTTTTATACTGCGGAGGACACGTGGCAGTGCTGGCTACTAGCAGCCCCATGGTCTCCTGCAGATATCGTTTCTTCGGAGGTTTTGGTACAGTCGGTGATGTCGGAGTGGTAGGAGTGGTAGGAGTGGTCGGCGTTGTGGGAGGAGAAGCCAGAAGGCTACTCAGCCCTCCCATCTGACTTTCATCTGGCGAGAAAAATAAAGAAGTCATCCTTCAGTATTCCAGCATTAAGACACGACTAAAATGTACAAATTGCACGCACTTTTTAGTACGGAGTAAACATCTGACATACATTATTTTAACTTTGGAATCAAATTTACACGCTCTTTTACACTTTTCAACATACAGCATTGAATTATTTTATTCTGACCTTAAACCTTAATTTTCTTCAACTACAACGGCTGACACAATTCACCTTGTCAGCTAGATAAACATTTTCACGAATTAAGTTAAGTATGAATGAAGTAAGTCACATCAATTGCGTGTTATCATTAAATTAAATTTCTTTCATTCATTTCTGAACACAGATTTACTGACCCGCCAGTTTGCCTGGTGTGATAGGACCGCACGTTAACTGACACTCCAGCTTATGAGGTTTGTTTTGATTGGATGGACGTGTGATGAGCGTACGCAGTGGTGGCGCAGGAAGCTTGTACCACTTGAAATCTGGGTTTGCTTTCAGGAATGCTTCTTTGTACTGAAAATGCAATGATTTCTCACAATGAAATGTTGTCAATGATTCCAGCTCATATCAAAAGCAGAATCCTAATGAAGTGTTTTAGAACCTGAAAAGGAAGGATCCCATTTCATACTAACCTTTCATCTGCCACCTCTGTTAGCATAAAGAAGTGTAGGAATAATATTACAGAACAAATATTTAGAGAACCAATCTTATTTAAGTCTTAAATGTCTGTAATTACTCACATAATTTCACCACACTTTCTAACGAGTACCGTTCCTACTTCTCCACTTAATGGCACCTGCACCTTGTCGTGGTGGTGGGGCTTGAGTACCTCAGTGACCCCAAGAGCTACTGGTAGGGCCTCCCTAGCCAGATTGGTCGAGGGGGAGAGGTACCCTGGTCCTCCAGGTTGGGGGTTGGACGCAAGGCTAACAACCTTGCACCGTAAAAAGGAAGATGTTTCGAAACCTCGATCAAAGCCCCGGACAGACGGACCTAACAGAGGACCAAATTGAAGAGGACCGGAGAGCCATAGAAGAAGAAGAAGACTTTTCCTACTTTCTGTGTTTCACAAACTAATCTGAGATTTGTGGTAACACCATGACCACAACGGCCAATTCTCATTCTCAGAAAATTCAGTATGAAGGTCATGCCGCCGAAGACCACGTGTTCACATTTTTCAAGTCTCTGCTACCAACAATATCAACTAAAGACGTAGAAGCAACACGCACCAAGCAATGTTGGGTCCCAATATTTTAAAAAATCTCAGAGACGCTGCGGCAGAGCTTCAGAAAATATGAATCGATTCTGATATAAAAAAGTGACACTGTCTATTTCAGACGAACCTGGCGTGCTAATTCAGTATATGATGCCTTCTCAGGTGGTTCAAGATTTGCCCACCACTCGCCAAGGATTTTTGTGATTGAACGATTCTCAAGGTGAGGGTAACGGTCTCTTACAACACCACGGTGTCGCTTGCAGAAGATAAGAAATGCATTCATGGGACGGCGAGCATGGTGCGCTGGTTCTCCTAGCAGTGAGTCCACACCGTCCTCGTCTGAACCAGCTGCTTCACCCTGTCCTGCCCCCTTCTGAGCCTCCGTGTCTGCTGCTTTATCCTGTACAATGAAATAAACCCATCAAATTACTTCACATGCCATGCAGAACCACCAACCATCTATGTTTAGGTTGCCCAACTGGTCTCTTTCAGGTTCTGTCTTGTTTACTGTAATTATTGGTATTCTATTTTGTTTTATTCGCTTCAAGTATGCAATGGCGTTTGACATAACAGCCACATTCTTAATCTTCAGTTGGCTGATGCCCATTGGTTAAATTTGTTAAAAATTGTAAGTTCTCTACTTTCTGTTAGTACATATGTTATCTAAAATTGCTGCTGATAACAATTTTTATACATTTGAACAGAACACACCTTGAAGCAGGGCACTTTTTATAATTTTTCTGTTTTAATTTAGATTACATGTAGTCAATTGGAAATTCTGATCGCCGAAGTTTCCGAACCCAAGACTTACATGTATCCATAAACATGCTAAGTAATAAAAATTATTATTTTATGGTTACCATAATTTAAAAAAAAAACCCAAACAAAATCAATCTTAATTCTGCTAAACACACAGACTTCAATTACATCAATAAAAAATGCTCCAGATTCACATTTATTTATTATATCCGACTATCCACTTTCTAAATTACCACACTTTTCCTGATATGGAACTCCTAACTTCAAATATATTACTTCAATCATATGCAGCCTTAAGGAAACCCAGTGTCGCACCTCGTCTGAAGAATCTATGTCAACAAGAGCTACACTTTCAAATTAATTCTAACAAGACAATGCCCCCTATATCATCAGGCGGCCTTAAAAAATACATTCAAATCCGTGTTATCATTTATTCAATCTTCAGGCTACTATCCTGAAGACATAATTTTGTGTGATATTAAAAAAAAATTATTTCTGGCTCTAAACAGAATGCCCACACTTTATTTCATAAAACATTTATGCCAATTTAGAAATTTAATACAATCATTTCAAAACTTCCAGTTCAGTTTCATGAAAAGGTTTGCTTAATGTTGTTCTAGACAAACTTCGTCCTTTGGTCTGTCACAGCAACGGGCAGGATTCTAAAATACTTTAAGAGCACAGCTGTAACAGTATCCTGTTTTACGTTTATTTGATGAATCTGTTGTTACTAGATACTGTCAGAGTTGTTCAACTCCATCAAGTGAAATAATTCATCGTGTACATTCGATAACATCCAAATCACTCCAAAATAGTGATACAAATATTTCTTGTTTGCTTATAGTGATGCTGCAGTCACCTCTCGTAAAACACTCGTACCCTATCATGATACACCTGTTAATGTTTCTCAAGAACTTTTATTGACTGAAGTGAATCCTCAGATTATGAGCTTTATGTTCGGTAAAAACAACAAATTTATTTTTTTATGGAGCACGGCACTTTAGTTCACATTGTGTCAGAAGCCACTCTATGAAGAAAAACAGACGCTGGTAATTCTCATCATGATTTAGAGGCAAATACTGATTATTTATGTCACAACACAACTACAACTTAAGATTAGTTCTCCAGATAGGTTTACACACAAACAAATCATTCTCACGTCTTAATACGTGGCATCTGAAGAGTCACTGTGCGGTTAACCATCATCTGCTAGCATTGCCAGGGCCAATGCCAGTGTTACGAGGTTGTACATTTGTAAATGTACAGTGACTTTTCTAACACACTGTATACAAAAAGATAGTGCTCTAGTATAATTGATTTCTGATCATTTACAGGAACTAACACTGGCCACTACTTGATGCTTCCAAAAATTACGGACATACCTTTCAGTATGAAAATAAGCAAAGCAAAAGTTTTATGTGTAAACATATAACCTCAAGAAGCATAACGACACATAAGCTAAAGAACATATTCAAATCCCAAACAGATTTAAAAAGCTCAGACAAAAATGTTGACATCAAAATTTTGATTGCAAAAGTATTAAAAGAATATCAAAATTTCACAGAAAAGAAGGGTGCAATTCTAGTCTGGGGGTTGGGCAGGTCATGACATAAAGCGTGTTAGGAAACACATTACACATTACACATTTGATGTGCCACTGTTCGAAGCACAAGCTGTCACATGACAGAGAAATGAAACAGGCAGCACAGCATCCAGAACCCAAAATCTATCTATTCAACCCTGTGTTATATTAACTAATCATGAGAGCCCTGGTAACAAACTAGACGTAACACAGAAGCAAGGCCAGTAATATAAATTCTTGTCCCAGCTTTTGCTGTCTTTCGTGGTTTTTTGTGTGGGTGTGGGAGTAACCAAGAAACTAAAGTAGAGCTCCCACTCATTTTTAACCTTGACACTAGGACCTGGTACCCACTGGAAGGGAGGCTGAGTAGGCCCCAGCTAAAATAAACAAAATAAGTTTTAACCCATTTATTCCATTTTAATTAGCTTAAAAACATAAGTTAAAACCATAATTTAAACAATTATAGGTTGTAAATAAGGATTTATCCTTGATAATACCCTGAATTCACAGGCAGCTGCATTTAATGGTTTAATTATTTATAAAATTACAAAACAACAAATATAAAAAATATGAACTTTCCTTAAAAATAAATGACAACAGAATTACCCCACTTCTTATTTCATAATTTCTGACCTGGAACAACATAGACTATAGTATAAATTCAAGGAGACAGTATTAATTAAAATAAATCTCACAGATTTCTAAATTAGCTCGTACTGCCCACCTGGTGTACATAGAAAACGAAATACTTAAGCTTTTATGAAACGATAAATCTAAATAATAAAAAAAGCAATTACCTCCTGTTATGCAATAATCACAACCCACTACTTTCGCTTTCATTGCATATTTCACACTGATAAACATCAAAGTTACTAAAATTCACTCCCAAGAATGCACACGAAATTACAAGCGTCATTTTTAACTCAGGGTAACTGCTGTTAACAGCACTGCGAAGTTCCTCGTCTCACCTTCACGACCTACTTTTTAAAAAATCGTCACTTTCTCAAACAGACATTTCTATTTGATAATGACATGACAGATGTTTTAAATATCTCCAAGAAAAAGTCTTGTCCATTTAAAACAAATACATACCATGAAACGAGACAACAAATTGAATATATTGACACCGTTTTTCTTGCCAAGTTTACACATAAACAACAACAGCCGCTAACGTAAAGTGAATCTCAAGGTTATGCCATCTCACAGGCACACAGACTTACTACATCGTCAATTTTCGCGACGGGATTTCTAAATGAAATTTTAATGCACAACCAATAGCTCAAGTACTTTTACAATCAGTAGTCTTCAAATGATGATTATGAAGGAAGCACTTTCTGCATTACTTCGTATTACAAACATAATAACACAAAATACTCACGGACTTCTTCACCGCTTCACTCGCCATAATATCACCACATAATGTGACGTCACGTTTAAGTCAATCGACATTCCTCGACTTGGCAACACGCCGTCTATGCTAAAAACTGCACTCCTTCTTAGACATGTCATTCACTTGCACATAGTCTTAATTAATGACCACATTCTAGTGTATTTTATATCACTAACATTAACAATTGTGTCTCTTTTGTTTTTAAGTATCACGTCCATAAGCCTCTGTTACCGTGCATGATCAGCTGGTACTCTGGGTGCCACCCAATCAAGGAAGTTTCATTTGCCGGCTACAATTTGTAGGTACTAATATTCGCGAAAGAATTATTTCCTTAGTTAAGCCTTTGAACAAATTACAAATCATTCGTGCTATTCTTCAGAATATCTAATTTAATAATATTTTCATTTGTAAGTCAGGTTACAAACTTCTGGCTCAGAAATCGAAGCACATAGGCTTTCGTTTTGATCCGTGAAATGTCAATGTATACAATCTGTCCGCATTGCAACAAATCCCAGCGATTGAGTACATGGCGCGACCTTCAAAAATGAAGGATTGTATGACGCGAAAGGAAACCGACTCCTGCATAATTCAAAATTTTGGGACGCATCAAAATTTCTTCAATCTCTACCTCATTAAATCGATAGCCACAGGAAGTGAGTTTCATTCGAACAACACTTTGTTTGTAATGCTTAATGTCCTAGAGCACTCCATGCAACCAGTTTTATACCCTTGGAGTGTGTTTGTTTGGAGCTGTATTGTGGTAGATCAGGAGAATCGATTTGTACTACAAACGAACACTTTATAGTAACGATGCATAAACTCCATTCAAAATATATTGACTTTATATGAAATATAACAACGAAATGCAAACATTCAAATGTATTTAAAAAATAAATATATATGAAATTATTAAACAATAACCAACTTCATGGTTTACATTTTTCATATAATAGTGTTAGAATTTATTAAATAAATAACGTTGGAATGGATTAACCACGAAGAAGGCAGGATGAAACATAAAATACACACCAGTATAAAACAATCATGACATTTAAGGTACTACTCCAGAATAAATATTAATAATATCCTCTAAATTACATACAGGTCTCTGAAGTGCTCTCATCCTTTTAGGTTCCAGCTAAAATTTTGTATGCATTTCTAACTTTCCTCATGCATGCTAGACACCCTCATTTCATTACCCAAATAATATTCAGGGAAGAGTACAAATAACAAAGCTCCCCCATCAATGTATGTTGTTCTCTTAGCATGACAAACCATGTTTCACTTTCATTTTGAAGTCAGAGGAAAACTAAAGATCTTCAATCTTAATCACCAAAATTTTATTGACAATTTTGTGTTTGAAGAGCCAAGCAACCCAAATTTAATTCAAGATGATCAAACTTGATCATATTTAAAGATGGTTGTCTTCTGGGTTCAAGTTGGTAAATTTCTACAGTCATCTTCATATTTGCTGCCATCATAACCTCAAATCCAACTTGATTAAATTTATGCAAGATTTGCGTCTCGTGGTATAATTTATTTTTGAGGGTTATAAGAGGAATTTACTTGAAATTAAATTATTTCATAAAACACTGAAGTCTGCTGTAGCCTACAGCTTAAGATTTATAATATTAACACGTGTAATGTTGACCCACTTCTAAGATGGACAAATTAATGGAAATATCCCTTAATCGATTACAGAAAGATTGTAAAATATTTAAGTTTTCTGGAGATTGGAAAGAGGTTATAATATGGGACACTGAAAAAATCTGACAATAGAATAACAAATATTTTATTTGTTATATTCATCTTACAAGTAATTTTAAGTTTACTTTTGATGAAGAATGTCGAGAACAGGGCCACCAACTTGGGCAATTATTCAACAGTGAATGTGGAATTGAAAATGTACACAAAGAAATCACAATCTTCTTTAGCACTTAACATGATAAAGATGCTGATAGCAAGGGGGGAAAAATGTATAAAAATTATATTACTGAAAAATAAAAGTTTGAACAATTCTCTGGTATCTTTAAATTGGCTATCAACTAGCGTTAATGTGCCGATGCTAGCACAGGATTCATAAACTGGTTGCATCACACTTCAAAATAATTTCTATTCATAAAGTATTTTGTACACAGAACCAGATCATGGAATGGGGCTCAAAACAAAAGAGAATCACAGAGTAACTTTACAAGTACATCACTTCCGAATTCACTCTATAAAACCCTTTTAATATTCCATGATTTGGAGCCCATGATAAAATTTTTCACTGTTTAAAGAAGTTAAAATTGATGCAAAAAACAAAATGCTTAAGAGCTTCTTGAATTTCTTTGTATACAGGTTATGTTATTTTACTGCACATACATAATGAAGCATTAATACGAACCACTAAATACACTGACCATTATATTAGAAATCTATGTTCATAATCCTGGAACGATATTCTCCATGTTACAGTAATATGCACAAACACACAAATCAATGTTCAGGTTAGGTTAGGTTATGTTAGGTTAGGAACACACCAAAACATATACATACACGAACATTATTCACAGTTGCAAATAGCTTAAGTATGTGCACAGTAGAAAAAGTAAAGTACACAATATTTTATTTCTTTCAAAGAAGAGCATGGAATATCTTCTCTACAAGCTTCAAAATTGTCCCTTGTCATTCCAGAACCCTGCCGTGCTTTAACATTAGCACCAATATAAATTACCACGTTCTCTAACATATTTATGGACAGATTACATATGAGTCTTATTTACAAATGCTGAAAGATGCTAAGTTCAAGAATGGATGATGTATTTGGAAGCACTCCCAAATAAATGAACAGCTTGCGTACTCAACTTGGATCACTTCTTATTGCTTGCTGTCTCTAAATATGGTCACTACAAATGTACACACAAAGTTTTGGCACGAATACAGATGAGCTACTTTATAAATAGCCATCTTAAGAGTGTTTAAAATTATATTAAAATATACGTAAATACTGGAAATATTTATAGGTTAATGCATACTGCACTGGATTGAAGTCTTTAGAAATTTAAGGTTATGTTCAAAACTTATAAACTTTATATTCTGTGTATCCTTAAACTGCAGACAATTGATATCTATATTTGATAACAAATATAGATACCAACAATTAAAACTTATCATCACTAAGTTATGACTACTTTAAGTACAATGCTTACATATAAAATCTAAGATGATCAAAGAATTAAAAATATATGTTCATTTAATACTGAAAATAATAACAATAACAAAAATTGACAGTTTTTCCATGAATAAAAGCTCATTCTCTTACCTGTATGTGACAAGCTGTCAATTCTGAAATGTTGCGATCTAAAATTCTATTACTGAAAAAATTCAATATGGTTATCACTACAAAATCAAATTACTAGATATGCGTAGTTGTTCAGATGACCAAATGTAGATGTCACTATATTCATTAAAGCACCTATTAATTTTACTGATATCTACCTCTCGGAACAAAAGAAGCTGCTGTTTGGAGTAAATGCGGACTTCATATAACTCTTTTGTCCAACAGACTGTGGCATTTTCTGTGCATGCATTACAGCGCAGAAGGGCAACTTCCTCTGTACTTATAAAGAGTCTTGTTGTATGTAGCATATAAATTATTTGTGATTTATTTAATTATGTTGTAGTAGCTCAGACTACGTGATGTCAAATGATACGATAATTAATTGTAAAAGATGTGGAAGGAAGCAGCCTGGCATTTTACTGGAGGGAATGTGGAAAACCATGACAAATCTCAGCGAGGACAGTCAGTCTCTGAGAAAAAATTTGAAACACAGACCTTCCAAATACGAAGCACAAATATTAACCACTCGGCCACGATGCTCGGTGAAGCATAAAATTGGATATGTTGATTAAGGACATTACCTGGCTTAGAGGAAGGATTTCTGTGGAATTACATTATTAAATTAATAAATACAGAATGGTTAAGAATCAGCGTACGATGACGGATGCAGTTTGGTCAAAGGCGAAACGACTGGATGCCCAAACGCCTGCGCTTATTTATACAGATCTGACACAAACATTTTAGTATGCTTCTCTAAAACAAAGCAATCAAACAGTTTCTTTGGTAGTTCACTTGATAAAGTTGATATAATATCCTGATTTAAGGTGGTAGGTTATTTAATGACATTTTCTTGAGTACAGACGCTACGTATCTTTAAACAACTGATATGAGTAAGAATGGGCTCATTTAATGATATCATATTGAAAGTCACAAATGGATTTGAAGCAAATATTACTAATATTAGTGATAATAACATTCAGGATAGCGATTTCTGGCCGAGCTTTAATATGACGCGACTCCTCCAAAGAAGCGGCAGGACTGCGAGCTTTAGAACCAGTAGTACGGCACTGGATTATCAAGTGAGCAAAATATTCAGCCAGGGAAACTGATGACGTACCCAGGGGGGTCTTACATTCTGGTAAACGCAGTCCGTTTTTCCTTCGCTCCATCGTCCCTTCATGTACGGAGCGAAAATAAAAAAGTAGAACACTCAGAGGATTTAATGTTTCTCGCAGAACTTTCACAGTGTTCTTATTTTAATCTAACCCCATATTTCAGAACCGTGAAGGGGTTCTCACGTTACCGTGCCAACCTTACTTTAATCTAACCCCAATATTTCAGAACCTTGAAGGGGTTCTCACGTTACCGTGCCAAAATCCTTCGTTGAAAGACGCTGGATACAGAACGTAGCAGTATTACGAAAAACCTAAAATGATAACAGCATGATTTCAAAGATATCCTCAAAGTTTTAACCAATATTTAAAAATGAACCACAAAGTTTATGGGTATAAATATGATAGTTTTCTCTAAGCTATGACGACACCGTAACTGGTTACCTGTATTTTGAACTGTTTTCACATAAAAATGTGTTAAATGATTTATTATAACTGCAATACCAAGATTATATGTGGAGCTTCCAGTGTCTGCAAGGCATATTAAGAGATAAACCCTCTTAAAATAAAATATCTTTATAAATTAAGAATGTCTTATTTTAAATTGACTCTAAATTGCACAGATATTAGCGAGCCGGTTTATTGAATACAAGATATGTCTAGTCTGAAGGAAGGATTGAGATGAAAATAATGTTTTCATGTGTATGACTTGAGGTTTTCATTCAAGTGACTACGTCGACAGCGGTCGTCAGGGTTCTGACGACGCAGAAGGTGATGATTCCTCAAGCCGTCGCAAAACGAGAAGACTACAAATGACACCGGTACATTTTGTAGCATTTCTTAGACCTAACTTAAACTCTCAAACTTTGTATCTGAGATATAAAATGAAGTGATACAGGCTGATATAAGATATGACACTGTAAGTTTTCTCTGAGGAATTTTTTTTTGTTAATCCTGAGTCAGACCTTTTTCAGTAACGCACGTCTATGAGTATTACTGGAATTACTTAATAAATTTCAATAAAGACACCAGTTACACTTGATTACAATTTTTTGTGTGACTCGAGACGTCGATCGAAAACCATTTAACTGCGACGTCTCTCGACATTTGACTCAGAGTGATACGGCACACAGTCTCCTGTCACAGTGAGGTTATGCGCTGATTCATAGATCAGGATACACTAAATCTCTTTGATGGGCACGTGCATTCTTTACATTTATGAGCAAATTCACGTAGAAAAATTTCTCACCTTCCCCATTCGACACGTCTCATCATCTTGGATTTTAACAACTGTAACAGTATTTGATTATGACTACAAATTTTGAAGCTAAAATGTCTGTGAAATTTGAAATCAACTGCAACTGGTCCATTTTGATCCAAGAAGACATAAACTGGGTAGTAATGTCGAACCAGCACAGCGCATGTGGAATCTTAATACTAATTACCATTGAGAAGCTGTTCCGCTTGATGCCGAAAGCTGTCCGAGGCCCACATAAACTTGATATTGTATTCTAATGCATCATATGAGAGTATATGTTTCAAATGCAATCACATTTCAAGCCAATATTGTACCAGAATCTTTTCTATTTTTTTTCAAGGCCATCAGATTAATACTCAAAAAAATTTGAATTCCAATTTTCATCGCATTAAATAATGCAATGAAAAAATTTTAAGAATAAAAATGTCACTTCGTGGAACTCTAAAAATAAATAATCACATCGTAAATATTTTGACGCAAACATTATTTCAGCGGAAATTAAAATCCACTTCAGAACGACATTTTCACAAAGTGGTGCTTCATTATTTTATGTCGAAATAAAACATGAAGTAACTAAAATATATTGACTCAATCCCATTAACCTGGTACCTGGTTAACATACCTTCACATTTTTCAGCAATTCTCCGCACAAAAACCACAAAACTCTTGAAAATCTTGAGGAACTCTGAGGATGGTGGAATCCAGTAATGTTACGTGCCAAGCGCCATTATTTTCTTGAATGCTTTACGAAATTCTGGGTTAAATATGGTATATATGACAGGGTTCACAAAGCTGTTCATGTATCCTAGCCACGTGGTCAGAAGGAAAGCTGTAACGCCTGGTGAGCAGTTTGATGATAATTTGGTGCACATCGCGTCCAGGATGTTGCAGGTGAAGAACGGCACCCAGCAGATCAGGAAGACACCTGATACATTCAAACACATATACGTTACAGGAATATGCGATCCGTCCATTACGAACATAAAATGTAGGCGGGCTGATCGACCAGCGCGTCTGATTCTGCTGTGATCAAATGACAATCTCTATGATCATCTTAGATGACGGGATGATCATACTCGATGATCTGGGAAGGATATGAGATTCGATGATCTGGGAAGGATAGGAGATTCGATGATCTGGGAAGGATAGGAGATTCGATGATCTGGGAAGGATAGGAGATTCGATGATCTGGGAAGGATAGGAGATTCGATGATCTGGGAAGGATAGGAGATTCGATGATCTGGGAAGGATAGGAGATTCGATGATCTGGGAAGGATAGGAGATTCGATGATCTGGGAAGGATAGGAGATTCGATGATCTGGGAAGGATAGGAGATTCGATGATCTGGGAAGGATAGGAGATTCGATGATCTGGGAAGGATAGGAGATTCGATGATCTGGGAAGGATAGGAGATTCGATGATCTGGGAAGGATAGGAGATTCGATGATCTGGGAAGGATAGGAGATTCGATGATCTGGGAAGGATAGGAGATTCGATGATCTGGGAAGGATAGGAGATTCGATGATCTGGGAAGGATAGGAGATTCGATGATCTGGGAAGGATAGGAGATTCGATGATCTGGGAAGGATAGGAGATTCGATGGTCTGAATATGGCACAAGATCAGTAACCTAACTCATTTTTTGCAGCAGAGTCCTTGAGAAGAAACTCTTCACTTTTCGTGCGAGACAGAGCTTCTTCATTACTGTGCCCAAAAGAGCCAGCCACTGGACCCTGACTTCATCTTAATATTATTGTCCCATCTATACCTAAGTCTATCAAGATATGCTCTCAATTTCTTCGCGAATGTAATATTTAATTCTTACCACCATTCTCAAAAATGTAAATTTTGCAATATTTTTTTAAGAACTCGTTGGCTGCGTCTGTATTACAATTGCCTTGGACACAAGCAAATATAATCAGCGACGTCTCACAGAAGAATCAGGGGACACTTCACCTTTCAAATTTACTCACCCAAAACGATCGCGAGGGTTTTGGTGGCTTTTCGTTCCTTTTTGGCTGAAGATTTCTCCCGTTTCTTGCGACTTGCTTTGTTTACTTTGTAGATCGTGAATCGGGAACTCGTCGTGCTTTTACATTCCTTCTTGGAGCCGGTCATCCTGGCGCTAGGAGGTTCTCCTTCTGGGGGCTCTACTTCTCTGCAGTGCCGAATGGACGGGCTACCCTTTTGTGCCGGGCAGTCGGGCTGTTGCTCGTTCACGCTAGCTGCCCCATTTCGACGAACCTGCAACTTTTCATTTCAAAATTTACAGTTTATATTTTTATAATAATTTGCACAAGTTACCTCCATTTTAAGTTTGACACTTCTTCAACTGCAGCTGCTTTTTGGCTGTTTGCAGCAGTGAACTGAATGCACCTCAAATTAAGTTCAAGGTGACGGTACGTAAGAAAAATTCCCCAAAGAATTTATATTAAACAACAATCAGAAAGAATTCCGGGTAAATTATACAGTATAAGTCAGTGAACGGTAGATGGCACCATGTTTTTAGGAACATCTGTGCATTTTTTACAAACAATTTGGTTAGAAGAAGGAAATTAAAAGCAATATGTATGTTAACTTAACCGAAACTAACCTAACCTAAAAAATCCTAACCTAACCTAAAACATAACCTAACCTAATAAACCTAACCTAACCTAACCTAACCTAAAAAACCTAACCTAACCTATTAAACCTGACGACATTTGAAATGAATTTCGTGTTGCAAAAATTCAAATACAGAAGCAAACTCAAAACTCAGTGCCATCACGTCTATAAAGACATGTTTAGTTTGTTAAAAATTATGTTTGGGGAATTTCAGAATTGTCTGAAAATGGAAGATGTCGGTATTTGCATTCTGGTTACCAACATCATCGTCTCTAACGATAAAGGCAAATTACTTTCTGTCTCTCCTCTTGTTGAGCCGCGGACCGTCTGCGTGGGCTGCTGGAGTTAGACGTCGCCTGCATTATCGTCTCCTCTACATTGGAAGCTGCATAACCAGAGTCATTGTTGCCATTCGGGTCCGTCACGGCCGCAGGTGGAGACGCTAACCTGGCAACGACGCTGTGAGACATGTTTCGTATTATCCTCCATGATTTTTAAACAGTTAACGAAAAGTATACGTAACCTCAAAACAACTTTAATGACAATGGAAACACCAACTAATAAATGGGTTAAGATCTCGAGGCTCAGAGCCAAACAGAGTAGAGGTTAGGGACTCACGCGGAATCTTCCAGAGGCTCAGAGCCAAACAGAGTGAAGGTTAGGGACTCACGCGGAATCTTCCACCACTGTTGCCAATATGAATTCTGTCGACTTGTCATTCGGGATCACGTGACAATCGTCCGACGCAGGCGACCGATTGCCTTCCTTTTCCAATTCTTCTTCTTCTTCCTGCAACGACACAATCTTACTAACAGTTCTCGCCACAGCCTTCTTCACGAGTATCGCTGTTATGATTTAAGAACTGCTGAGTTTGAAACACAACAGAAAAGAGGAAAATCAGAATCTGATGTGACAAAACCAAGATCTGTTTTTGAAACGTCACTTTCTCATAGTGACCAGTAAAAAGATGGCTGCCTTCCGCACGATTATTTTAACTTTAGTTAGTTTTAAATTGAGAAACTGAACACTCGCTCATCCTTACCTGACTGCCACTTCCTGTGTTGGTAGGCCGTTCCTCCTCCATCCCAGACGAAGGTGGGACCAACGTGGGTCCCAGGGCAGTCTCAGCCAGCCGCTGCGTCTGCGCGATGTTCTCTATCACAGATCCCGGTTTGATGTCCGATAGGTTAGGTTTCCTTGAAGCTTTTGCCTTCCTGGCGCGATTTCTCAGCGCCTAAAACGTTATCAGCACAAAACAGTAGGCCTATTTCTAGAAATGTTAGGAACAGACAACAATTACGAGGGTTAATAGTCAGAATAACAATGACACGAAAAACTGTATTTTTTTTTAGAGAGAGCTTTGCTTTCGCGTTACTGTGTTCAATTGTTACGAAGTCGTGGCTCTTCTAATTATACTTTAAATTATTAAGAGCCAATGTTAAAAAAACATTTTCTTTTCTGTTAGTGCATTATTCTGTCTATAACAAGAATTCTGTTCAACATGACTTATTGCTAACCTTAGAAATTCTCGTGGCCTTCGTAACTAACGCAGAAGTTTTAATAACAGAGTTTGCTATACGTCTAAAAGAATTTTAATTATGTTCAGAAATAGTTTCATATTAAATGTAAGTTTAAATACTGTATTAAAAAGTAAAAGTTTTCTTTTCGGCGATGAAACCTGTTTATTCAAACCGAAATCATGACCCTTAAATACAAGGATAAAATATCTACTCGTAACAAACGGTTATTGTTCAAAGCTGGGTTGGAGGATAAGAACGTATTATCACGTGAAATTATTTAAAGTACATTTGCACAAATTTATTCGTTTTCCGCCAGGAACCGAAAAGTAATTTGGGCGAATCTTACAGAGGACCAACTATTCTCCTACTTCTCGAATTCTACCCGCTTCCTTCCACATTCCTCCCGACTCGATAGGTGGGGCATGTAGCACGAATAGAAGATGAGAAATAAATGCAAAATTTTTGTTGGAAATCATGAAGATGAGGCAAAACTCAGAAGACCTAGACGTAGATGGGAGGAGATTATGGAGATGGAGGGTGTAGACTAGACTGGATATGGAAGGTAGCGTTTGTAGCCTGATTCAAAGTCCTCTCCCTACATTTGCCTGGAGGGTCTGTGGAATACCACGTAAACCTCATATAGGACATCCGATCTCAGTGTAGATATTCGGTATTTACGTATGTTACGAATCCGGAAACTTGTCTAAATCCATTGAATGTTTTACATAAGAAGAAAATGTGTCTGAGATCCTCTATTGAAAGAAGCCATTTTTATGTTAATACAATTGTAATTTTCAATTCAGCTCAACAGCTGTTTACTCCAATTTCATCGTCCCCTCCTTCTCTAACGTGACCTAGTTAAATTTCATTACAATCCAGCTCTTGCTGAATATCTGACACCATGTTTCAGTCGCGACCAAGCACTATCGGGGAAACCAGCCTTTGTTAGGTTGGTAATACACCGAAGCCACTGTGTGGCGTAATTAGACGGAAATTCATTATTTTTGTCTCCGGCCCAATGGCGGAGGGGGGTAAGAAGCCATTTCTGTGTCAGATGGAGAATTAATTAGTTTCATAAGCCTAAATTTCTTCATCTTCTTTGCTTATTGCCAGTTAATCGCTTAAACCGCAACGTCACATCTAAAAGTTTACTCGAATTCATAAAAGCAAAATTTCAATAATTTGTGTTCGACTATTTTACCTTTTGGACTTAAACAAATTCTTTTGCAACGCAAAAATGTCTCGCTTATATTACTAATTATTTTCTTGTTAAATTGTGTACATTAGCAAAAACTTCGAAATTTCGTACGCAACTACCGAAGTTTAGCAGCGGCGAAAAAACTGAATACAGGCGTCACATAAACAAGCCTGATGAATAAAAATATATTTTTTGTATCAACAATTTCTGCTCTGTGTCTCAACTGTTTTCATACGTATTGATTTTGCTTGATATATTACAGTGGTATTCAACCTTATTTGTTCACGTACCCCCAGATATAATTTCTGTTCAACTTTGTACCCCCAAAGTTGTTGGTGTTTAATTCAAGTTATACATAGTATATAATCTACATCTAAAATAAATTAAATAAATTACATTACTTATTATTCAGTGTTTATCATAAAATAATATATTTTTTTAAATTTCACGTACCCCCTAAGATGTCTTCGCGTAGCCCAGGTTTAATAACACTGATCTAATACATAGTAGACCTCAAATTATCCTTGCAATGCCCATTTACACGACTGATGATAACTTTAGACACCGTCTCATCAATGCTTATTCTTCTGTTGTCTCGGATACGCTGATAAATCTACGCCTAAACTTCAACACCGCCAAGAACGTGAATATAAAAACACATTCGCTCTTCTCTGAGTCTTTTAGTACATATGTCATTCATCCTCTACCTCATGCAGTTATCGCTAAGCAGAAATGTCATTCCTTCGTAAATTTCACGAGTTCTTACTCCCTCTGGCCGTAGAAATTAGACCACAGCTCATTGTTGTCATCTGAATAATTCTGCCAATCGAGCAACAATGTTAAATTCGTCATTGTACGACCAATAATCAAGTGACAATGGAAAACACCCGTGCGATAAAGAATGAATATTCATAATGTTTATACGAGCCAATTACTTAAACGTAACTTCTCATACAAACTAAAACTGTCCTTAATTGCTCAGAACCTCACGTAACTAGAATAATGAAGTGACAATGGAAAACACCCGTGCGAAAAAGAATGAATATTCTTAATGTTTATATGAGCCAATTACTTAAACGTAACTTCTCATACAAACTAAAATTGTCCTTAATTGCTCAGAACCTAACGTAACTACAGAATAGTTTAATATCCTAGAGCACTCTCTTTAGTTTCATGTGGATGATCCAGTTATATTATTCAGCTGAAACCTGAGCTGTCATAACGAAGTTTCCCTGCCTTAATCACGCCGTTTACACCCAACAATGAGCAGGAACTTAACTAAGCAACACAGGAAATGTTTGGCGGGTAATCCTCATCTGCATAAGCCTGTCTGTTAATTTGCAATAATTGAAACTTCGAGGTCTCTTGCCTTACAAAACCAGCTTTTAATAAACCATTCAGTCCAGTGGCGGATTTCAGTAATCCAATATTTCAAAACCGCTACCGTCACTAAGCACAGCTTGTTTTAAACTAAAATCTATACCTTTTCGAGTTTAAATTATTTTTTAATAATATACTCCTATATGCAGTCTTAATAACCAAATCCTAATCTTTTACTCTGACGTTTGTAAGAAATTATTATCAGTTTTGTTAAGCTGTCCTTTGGTTTATTCTAATGGCTTATTATTACACGTAAACAGCGTAGTGAATTGTTTCTTATACACAATAGTTTTTTATTTACATTAAGATATTTTACTACCCTGACAATGTAGACAGTAAGCTCTTCTGAAACGTCCATCAGCATCTACCTGACTACACGGTGTAACATCTCAGAAGAAATTGGTATTACTTTGCAACAACAAATTTTGAATACAAAGGTTGGTAGCTCTGTCACGAGCCACCACTGACTATTTGTCTGCATCACGGGGCAATTTTGAATAAACATGATGTATTTCCGTCACAACTGTTAGCCATAATTAAATTGTAAATCTACATGCCCTTGGAGAAACTGTCCCATCGACATGAATTGTGCGTACAGGGAATGTTAGGAACACATTCTCTACACCTGTTACTGAAAGTTTTCGTCCAAAACTTACAGGGCTGCCACTACAACTAGGAAAGCAATCTTGGAACAAGAAACTGTGTGCTTAATGTAGACCCCGAGCTTTAGAAATAATGTTCCAGAAACTTTCTGTATTCTGTAGAGTCACTATTTCGTATATTTCTTTATAAGACGGATGGCGTTTCTTAATTCTAAGAGATCTGACATTCTCACGTGACTCAATTTCAAGGCCTGTATGACAAATCCAACTTTATACAAAGAATTTCGAACAGAAATCATAAATGTTATTGCCCTCCTCTGGGCACAGACATACGTTGATAAAAATCATGTTGATAGCGTTATATTTAGGCAATGCAAGTTTATAAATCTAAAAGAAATATTAAATTTTGATGGGTTAAAGAATAGATATCAACTTGGTGTCTATTAGGGAAAGCTTAGAAGTCCTTTTTTCCGGGGTCCAACTTAAGGGTAGGGTAAATCATGACCGAAGATTTGTTGAAGGTGGCTGTCTTCTGGGTTGTAGCGTCGTGAAGCCCAGTAGACGTTTACAGACGTTTCGGATGTCCTTGCTGCCTCCATCATCAGGTAGATAATGAAGCCTGCAAGGGCCTCTGAACTTAAAACAACATTAACCAGTTGATCGTTGTCATGGAGACGCGTTGTTTTCCTTGAGCTTACAAATGTTACATGGACGAGATTCTTTTTAACCTAACCTAACCTAACCTAACATAAACTAACCTAACCTAACCTTTACCTGAAGGACGAATGGGTATTGCCTAGGAATTTTCACAAACAGGAAATAATTTATTTATTTATTTCACTACTCCCCTCAATATTTTCCCCCTTTCACGGCTTCAAAATTTTAAATTAAGAAATAAAAGAAATACCAACGTTGCGGAGAAACACTTACCTTAAAGATGTTGTAATAAAGGAAAACCATGATGATACAGGGGATATAGAAGGAAGAAAGAGAGGAGTAGATGATGAAGTCACTGTTGAAGAAGATACAAAGATGGGGCTTGCGGTCTGGGGTGTTGTTCAGCCCCAGTACGATGGGACTCCCTATGGCCGCTGAGATGACCCACACCAGGACAATGGTGAGCCAAGCTCGGCGATTATTCTTATGCTTTGCGTACTTTATCGGCTGAGTCACCGCGATGTACCTGCAAGAACACAACAAACACGTAGAGCCTTCTTTGATAAGCTGATAGTACCTCAGCTGCTCGAAACACCGTCTACCAATTACGGTAACCTAACATTTATTACTGCAACTAATCTCTGTACTGAGTCAGTAGAATTCACTGCGCACTCTCACACCATGGGCATGTCTGTAAGATCCATTTTAATAATATACCCTATCCAGGGCTGTGGAGTCGGTACTAAAATCTACGACTCCTAGGTTACCTCTACATTTGCTGGTGTTAGTAATCGGTGACGTTTGTTTGTTCGTGAATTTTATCAATTTCCCAGTGACTTCATTATGGGCCCGTACATGTCTGTCTGTCTGTCGTAATTTTATCACACTGTGACAATAACCTTGAACACGGCAATGAATACTTGGGTATAATAAAATATTATTTCTTAAAACAAGTATCAGCTTCTGAGAGATTAATTGTTTTGCGAGATGAGTTATTTCAAGACATTACTTGGATTTTTGTCACAAGAGACAAACATAATCATAGATTTTCAACTTTTATTTCTACGAAAAAATCTTGACGGCATTTTAAAATTTTCGTTCTGGAAGGCCTAAATGAAATTGTAATTAGGTTTTAAGTTTATAATTTTAACTTTTACACCTGAAGATGGTTTATATAGAAACCGAAACATGTTGTAAAAAGATGTTCCAAATGTAAATCGATTGTTCGATGAGGAACATCAAATGATATTTTAATTATCTTAATTGTAAATTTTAAATTTTAAATTTGAATTGTGATTAGACGGACCAAAACCGAATAATTAATTAATATATGGTACCACAATATGACGCAACTATATCATCTTATTAAACTGAATTTGGCCAACGGAGGAGTTGTGTCGTTTTTCTACAAAATATTCGAGATGAGGTCCACCTCATTCCACGAACAAAAAAGACATTTCTGGAAGTTTTAGGGGGCTGACCGAGTGGATATGGTAAACTGTTCCCATTACGATAGAACGTGTGGTCCTGTTCGTGATCAAGAAGGCGGTGGAATTGTTAACACAGCTCCTGGCCATGATCCCAGTCTATGAGACGTAATGAGAACGCAATCCGGTACAGTCCTGTACAGTGAAATTTGACTACATTTACGTCTAGCTGTACTTATCAACACTGCTCATCTCTTCAGCAAAATTTCTGATTAATTCTTATCATTTAACGAAATACTTTTAACACAGGGTGTTTAAAAACATCGGATAAGTCGTTAAAAATGAGAAATGGCGTCGTATGTAAAATTCCAACTGAAGGAGTTAGAGTCCAAATAAAGATAAAAGCTGTTCCTGTGATTGAGAACCACACCATAAAGACGTATGGGGGCGTGGAGGTGTGGCCCCATATAATGTTAACCTAAGAATTAGATGGAGGCGAAGGTCGAAATGTTACTCGTGCCAGTTTGAGAGGAGGCTGGGCTGATCCCAGAGACAATCTGTACGCGGTGGCAAATATTAGAATCTTAAACACTGTTAAAATTGAAGTGATTTTACTTAACAACCATCACGGCTGAAAATCGTTCCACGTTAAACAGAACAAGTACTATACAGGGTGAGTTAAAAGTATGTTTACAAACTTTGTGTGTGTGTTCCAGGATCAAAAATAAGAAAAAAAAATGTCCCTATGAACATGGGGGTCGCAAATGTTTCGTTTTCGAAATAATAGCCAAAAATAAGTTTCAATGAATTGACTTTATATCAAAGTGAATCCAGCTTCAAGCAAAGATTTTTAATTAAAATTTGTGCAGGAATTGTTGTCGACATGCTTATTGGTCCACACATTCTTCCATCGCGTCTTAAGAAGACACTAGCCACGTCTCCTTGAAGATGGACCACTGAATACAAGAAGAAAAATGTGGTTTATGCCCCAGTACACTTCTCCCATCACGTCAGATATCATCTCAATGAACAGTTCCCTCAGCGATGGATTGGGCGTGGTGGCCACCGAGGTCTCCGGACCTGATTCCATTGGACTTTTATCTGTGGGGGGTCACTTGAAGTCTGTCGTTTATGCAACACCCATAAACAATGATGACGACATATGGGAACGTGTGCAGAATATCATACATTGAAACTTATTTTTGGCTGTTATTTTCAAAAAGACGTGTTCATAGAAACATTTTTTCTTGTTTTTGATTCAGGAACACGCACACGAAGTTTGTAAACAAACTCTAGACTCACCCTGTATATTATTTGCTGTAATCGGTATGTCAAACAAAAAAAATGAACTATTCTTATAAAAAAAAGATACGTTTTACTTTAACCAACGTAAGAATTCAAAATCAAGTTAAGTCTCACATAAACTGCTTGACGAATTTTATAAAATTTCAGCGTTAAGAACAGGGCGTGTTAACTTACGGGAATTGTTTTTTTTTAATAGTGCCAACCATACGAAATAATTTTGTTGTTTACTCATATTGTAATGCTGTATCATCACGTTACACCATTTCGATGTCTTCTCTTAAGTATGTTCCTTGCACGGTTTCAATCTTAAACCATCTCAGTGATCATTATGTCAATTTTGCAGAATCCCCAAACATTAGTTCACATGGTTTCGTATAGGAGCGCTACTGTTCTCGAGATAAGTTAACTGTCAATTCCCTAAATCTCTGAGAGGAGTTGAAATGCTAACAGAGTATAATAAGATGAGAAACTATTTTACAGACTTTAATTTAAACCCGCCTGGGAAGGGGGGATCCCTTCCCATCGCCCGATAAATCCTTCGCTGGTTGCATGAATCACGCGTATGTTGAAGCAGGCACTTCACGATTAAGTGGGCCTCGGATTTAGATAACGACTCAGTCGCAGATCTCGCTCCTCAAACGCCAGGGTGTTCTAGTATCAGGGTAGTTCTAAAACGGCCTAAGAATGTTCAGTATAAACTTCCAAACGCTGCGGATATTTTAAAATTTATTTTCACAAACACCCCCAAAAGAAATAAAATGTAAAATTACGAAATAAATAATTTATAGTGTGTCAGTTAAGTCTATAAATTAAAATCCTTCGTTTCTATGTTTCATTTTAATATTATCGCCTGATACTAACAATTATAAACGTAACAGCAAAAAGAACTTTGAATCATCTACCTCAGAACAGAGTGAAGTCGTCGTATCTGAGGTCTTTCGTGACTTTTCTCTGTCCCTGAAAGTCACGGAATATATTTTTCTTAGCTCCTTCCCAATCCATTATTCAATAGCCATATTTACAGCGTCTTTAAATGAATAACAAATAAATACCTAACACGGAAATGTGTCTTAGGGTTGCATAAACGACGGGATATTTATTGACCAGATAAGCGGCTACTAGCTTCTTAATAAGGGATCTGCTAGGTGGACTTAGTCCGGCTAACCTACGTGACAGATATTGTAATCGAAGGTTATCAAATTAGCGGGACGGACTCGATTAGCGAATTACAGAATGTGTGCACCCAAATATCCAGGTTTTAATAATATTTAAGTTTCGAAATTATGTCAGATAATTACTAACTGTTTTATATTTGAGTTAAATAAATTTAGAAATGTATTTAAATGAAATTAAGAGTTTTGTTTCCTTGCGGGGAAAATCAAGAAACAAAAAGTGTTTCTAGTTTTAACTTTGGGTTAGCAAAAGTAGGCGGGTATTGCTGTCCTCATCCACGTGATGGGACCACGAAGTGTAACATAACCTAACCTAACCTAACCTTACCTAATCTAACCTAACCTAACCTAACCAAACTTTACCTAACCTAACCTAACCCAACATAACCTAACCCAACCTAACCTAAACTAACCTAACCTAAACTAACCTAACCCAGCCTAACTTAACCTAACCTAACCTTACCTAATCTAATCTAACATAACCTAATCTCTCCTAAACCAACCTAACCGAACGCAACTCAACTTTAGCTCAGTCTGTATAGCCAATGGGCTCGACCACCATAGTTACAACCACATAACGCCGAAATTAAGAATGCGTGGAGATATACCTCCAATGTCATGGTATGGTAGTTAATGCAGTTAAGGGACAACTTTACTTCACCTTACAATCCGCCAATAAGGACTGCATTAAATCCACCATTTCTCACGCTGCCACTTCATACTCCCTCTCAAATTCTGCTGTGATTGAACAGTGCACATTTGTGAAAATGTCGATTTCAACTCCTTTTACCCCCCCTCCACCCACCCATTCTCCGCCTCATAAACTGAATGCATGAGCGGTCTACGTACGCTACCGATGTTTCACGCCGGCCGAAGGGAATATTTTTTCCGTTAGGTTGGCGCAGGTTAGAACGTAACGCTGGAGGTCAAATCAACGGTCTTTGTGACGCTCCAATTACACGAGCTTGTAACTAAATGTTGTAAGCTACAACAATAGTCAGCGTTCGTGTTCTCTATTCAGAACGTGCCAGCGTCGAACACCGCCAGTATCCTATATACTATTTATCACTACGATTTTCCATTGTTAAATTAGACCGACTCTAATAAGGACAGATTTATTTAATACCAGTCATAATATCGTCTCCCACTTACATCTAAGTCTCTAAAAAGATTTTAATATCTTCTATAAGCGTTGTTTGAAAGAAGAACAGTCCTATTGTTGTCTGTTTGCCGGAAACAATGGCATTTGTAAGGATACCACCGTATAGGATGGTATTACATTAATACAAACTGTAAATGAAACTCGAAATTGAATTTATTCATGTTTTGTTAAGCTCCAAAAAGGGCACACGACTTAAAATAGAATTCTAATTAATATCTACAATGTTTAATTTAATCATTTCAGTATAACGCTTATATGTAATCCTATGTAATGAAATACAATAACAAATAAAGTTGTATTTGTTTAGTTAAATCTGTTTGTTTCTCAACAATGACATAATTAATACATCAACGAATTTTGGTTTTACATTGTTGTTCAGTTTTTACCACAGAATGTACAACAAAATAATGTCAAGACGAAAGTGTTTTAAACAGCGAAGAAAGGTTTTTAACTAGTATAT